TGAAATCTTGCGGAGAAAATACTTGAGGGATACGAGAGGAGAAATTTAGTGGTGCGTAAAACAAGTAAGCAAGTTTGTTTTGACCTTATCTTTGAGTATACCATGGTTTATTAATGTTACGTCGTCCGCTATTCTGTGTACCGAATGAAGAATTTGTTTCGAAAAAATGTTCCGGATCGTGTCCGAGGTAACACAAATCGGTGATTTTTGCAAGCTTCGAAACTGCTTACGAAATAACTACACTGTTTTGAAGATATATAATGGGTGTTATTTAAAGATTGATGTCCCTACTTTTGACCGAGACTACGCTGTGGGAAGGATTTTAGCGGATAACATTTCTGTGACACTTCAAACAAAATTACCTCAATTTTGCCAGCCGCTGGTAGGGGCTGAGTTCTTCACCTTTCTAGTTTTATATATTCCTTTTTTTTTGATAGACGTGCCCACCACCTATGCACTGATCAACAGGGGTTCGTTATAAATGTCTGAAATACACATATTCTATAGACCTACTGACACATATGTTACAGACCTACTGATGAGTCACAGCACACATAAACATTCGTCATTTCAGACATTTGTAACGAACCTGTGCTCCGTCGCTAGATCACTCACTTCAAACGCTATCAGTGTCACGCGTCTCGGATCCATGGTTCCTCAGTTTCAGACGACATGTCAAATAACGATGCTGTTATAGAATCTACCGACTGTTGTCGGGTTCCCATACAATCAACAAATACATTCACGCCTGGATTCTTCACAAAACGAGCAAAGAGAAAAGTTCGAATTAACTTCCAAAAATAACTCCCTCGTGGAGGGCAAGGTCGGATTTACGGTGTTCACTGTATTTGTCCATGCGCGAAATTTGTTCCGGGGAAAAATCGAAACAATTTCAAATCTAACTTTCAGCTCAGAGTTCTATTGATAAACTTAAATCACCCTATAGACATATCATACGCAATTGTATTGATACTGAATTGTGGAATAAAATTGAAGTGTTTGTTAAAATTTCAAAGTACTACTTTGTTTGCCAATCAGCACGCGACAATACGCTGTTCAAACTATTGAACGAAATTGTGTGGACTGTCGATAAGGCGGGCATTTTTAATTTTAAATATAAATTATAAGTTAAAAAAGAACATAAGAGGCAGAGAAAACGTAAATATAAGTATTGAACTGTTTTTGTATGATATTTATGATCTATTTGAATGACACAGCTTTGCAAGCAAACAAATCATAATGCGCTAGCGCGCATTATGATTTGTTTGCTTGCAAAGCTGTGTCATTCAAATAGATCATAAATATCATACAAAAACAGTGCAATGCTTAATTGATGCATATATAGCATCAGAGTCAGAATAGTTCTTTATTAACCGTTCATTAATACACAGAAAAAGTAGCCTTTACGCTTTTTAAATGAAGTGAAATCAAATTTATTTTACAATTATGCTACATAACATGTGTAACTTGGTGATTTTTTTTATGTTTTTACTATTTTGGCACATATGTGTGTTAGGCATGTGTCATGTAATTGATGAAACAACTTTGCATGATAATTGTGCATTCTGTGATATTCTTAACTTAAGACAGCTGTGATCAAAGTGCTGAGGTAATCATGTTTTAGAAAGTTGCGAAACTTTAAATTCTATGCTATTGTGTGCGTTATATATATATATATATATTATAAATATATATTATATTTTGTTAGCTACTGTTGTATATATATATATAAATACATTTATAATGTAATTTGTAATTAACACATGTATTTAACTAACAAGAGGAACATGTGAAAGAGTAGCCAATGCTAAACATGTATTTATCCTCAATTAAGAATGTATATTAGTATTGCTATAGGATGGTTACTAAGTTATTTTCTATTTCTTTTCACAGATCGTGATATATACAAGGAAGAACCTTATTCCAGTTGTTATAGAGAGTGTCACCTCAGTTCAAATGAATGTGAATTTCCGTGCAAATCGGAGGAGACTACCACCTCCTCACCATCAGCTATCATAAATGAATCTACCGATTCCACCAAAATGACACCACGAAGCAATTCAAGTGAACGACTTGCGCTTCGACAGACATCAACTATTCTCAACGTTGTATTATATGTTTTAAACCTGTGTGTGATTAGGACTTTGTCTCAATATCTATCTATAGGTTGGACATAGATAGGATTCTTGTATATAGTGTATATTATTTCTATGAGTATATAATATAACCATATTGCACTATTACTAATGTATATTATGAAGGAACGAGATAGTATGCGTGGAATATTTTGCCAATTGTTTAGTTATGACACTGAAATCGTTTCTAAAAATGAATTATGCTAATGCTATGAGCAGCAGAATTATAGTTGAATGACGTCAATATTGATCCAATATGTTAAATCATTCTTTATCACATAATTACTGCGTTATTAAGTGATTACACCCATGTCATACAGTTTGCGGTATATTTCATAAAATAATAATTGAATGATGTTATAGACTTACATATTATCTTACGACGTCACAATGAAGATAATAGATAAACAGTCAAGAAAGTGGAATTTTAAAATCAGGAATCACATAGAAGAAAAACGTGTTTTCGCAATGTTCATAAAAAGTCTTGATTATGTTATTAAAAGTAAACTTAAATTAGTTTCTATTTCGAAGTATATTATGAAATAACATAAGCATGTAATATATTTTTCATTTTAGCTAAAAAATTGAAATATATTCTTCGATTTGTTTCATCAATTTTATATCAAATGGAAACTCGTGTAAAATCCTATATTTCCGCTAAATAAACACAGTACTTATTCTGTGTAACGTATCAGCACTTCCATATACATTCAGGGATCCACTTATTTTAACCCAATACGATGCATATTTGATGATGTTTAATTTATTAGCTATTTCTTAGATATCTATGATTTTACAAGTTTGAATGCTTATTTATCCTAAGTTTCGTCTTTGTTGATGGTTTGTTAGCTACTGTTGTAAATCGCCTATTCTGACCTATATATATGTTACTCTGCTGCTGTTTGTTTCAATAGCAGGTTGTAACGTATTTTTGCATTTGTGGTTTGTGAGACTCAGAAGTGTACCATAAACACTTTCAAGTTATCAGTGAAGGAGTAGGGAAGGGGGTATCAAGCGTTGTCCATGGTTTTTTTCTTCAGGGTCCGAAGCACGCAAATAGCATCACATGGAATTTGTAAATCAACAACAAAATCACTATGGTTATAACAGACGATGTATATTTTGATTATCGTGTTATACTATTTGTAATACGGTGTAAACATCTGATGTGACCTTTTCAGTATGGATTGTCATATCTTTTATAAAAATCATTCGGTTGTCAACATTCAAATAATTATTTTACGGGTTTTATCGTACACACTTTACAGAATAAAAGTAAAAAACGATTCTGTTATTTCGATAACAAAAAGGTAACACATAATTATGGTTTCTTTTCGTAATAGATTATAAATAATCAAGTGCATATCCTGTTAAACGACAATTTTGATTAGCAAATGGTTACGACCATTCGATCGTGTAAGTATGCTATTAGTACTTCACTTTTTCGCATTTTACAACAAAAATGTGCCAAATTATTCCCGGAGATCGCACAACTAGTATCGTTTAGCCTATGTTTTAGCATTTTTTGTTTATCAGATATGTTAGGGTTGGATAAGTAAAAATAATTTGCTTAACGTTCGTTTTTATAATAAGGGTATACTATTTTAGATGTATTAATATGATTTGTTTTATTTCAATGTAAGTTCTCACAGTTATTTGCATAAACGTTTGCACAGATTTTATGTTTTAGCATTAGCTCCTAAACACATGTTTGATGTATTTCATGTTGGTATGCATTCTACGTTTTAACGTTAATTCTATCAAATAGATTTGATATTTCCAGCTATGTTTATATACATAGATATATTCTGTTTTAAGTTACCCGACTATTTTACTATAAATAATATGTTTTAAAATCGATTCTCACTACTAGATTGGAAAGTATCAGATACATTCACCTGAGTTTATGCTAGAGCATCAGTTTTCACCACAAGATGGTGACATGCGTTATATATCAAACATCATCTGTTTATCGCATGACCTATGAATGGTGTAAATATAAACGGGAGAAATTAGAAAAAGGGGAACAAGAAATGTCAGTTTTTATCGTATAGATAAGTATCAAGTGGATCAAAGTGACGATTACAATTTGTGCATGCTACATTTACCTAACTTCATTCTGGATGATAAAAGTTCACATTTCTTTGAACAAATTTATAACAAATTTTATCTTGTACAAATTGACACGCTTCAGCTTCATTTAACTAAACGTTTTTATTTATTCACCTTTATTTATTTATTTATTATGTTTTAGTTCGAGTTGTGTTTAAATATTTATGTGATATAAAGCATTGTAGAATTACACGTTAACATATTTTAGGATGTAGGTGCCAGCATCCTCCGTTTCTCGCGTTCTGTTTACACGCAGTTAATGCGTTGTTGATAGTTTCGTTTTAACAAATAAGCAAAAAACATTAGCGTCATATTGTTCAATATTATACGTATTTAGCTCAAACATCAGTACATTGTTCCATTGTAAATATCTATACATACAATTAGATTTAAATGTATAATGATATCTTCCAAGTGGATGTCGGCGAATAATATCAAACCCAAGGTGGATGTTCCACGTGATGGAGTGTCTTGTGTGTGTATGTAGTGTATCAGTACAGAAGGTAAGTGATGTGTTGTCTACGAAGAGACAAAGTATGGCTGTGTGAACGTTCCGTCGCGATGACAAATGACTGGGATGTTTTAAGGAAGGCGATTTCTGAATGAGTGGGCATGCGTGGTTTTATATAAATTTAAACTACAAAACATCATGTTATTTAATTCGAATTGTGTGATTGTATAATGGCATGCAAGTGTGTAGTGGCGTTCGGATTGCAATATATTTAATATGTGTGTTTTGTTTGAAACTTAAAACTTTTATATACAGTCAATGAAAACTGAAAGCCAGTCCAGTACATGCAACATGTGTGCTGTCTCTGCCTGTATTATTTTTAAGACTATTGTCATGTCAGATCGTAGTCACATTCAGATGACGATTCATAGGATTTGGAGTATTTGTTTATACAATGGAGTTAGCTGTTAATAGGAATTAATCAAAATATTGATATATTATGGAAAACGTGTATAATGATAGAATATATATATAACTAGGATTCAAAAAGTTTGAAGGAAAAACTAATGAAGCCCGAAAGGAACGAGTTAAATATTTCTTTTAAACACTTTTAAATCCTGAGTTGTATATCTTACGATTGTCAACCATCGTGTACACATATATTGATTATATATATTCTACCACATCAAATGCAACTCAATACAACTAACTAACAAGGCGACATGATCTAGAAATGAAGGGTAGAGTTTGGAGTAGCGTCACCGTTGCTCTTTTGTCCAATAATAACCCATAGTTATTGACCGATGAAAAACGCCCTTACATCACCCACGTGGTAGAACGTTAGACAAATATTCCCATTTGTTACGGATTAGAATAATACCTCAAAGCACTGTTAATCCATTTTATCACCTGGTTGACAAGAATGTATCGCATACTGTTCCCAAATATAACTCCATCCCCCCCCCCCCCCCCCCCCCCCCCCCCCNGTACTCATATCAAAAGTTAGTATTGCACAGCTTGGACAAATACCGATATACTCGTACACACATAGGTATTGTTATAATTCATAAAACATAATATCAATTCTATAATTACTCATCCTCGATATCCAGGGGTTCGCTCACTTTCGTTCTCTGCACTCCTGGAATATGTCATAGCAAAATTGAAGGTTCGGCGTGCGCCACCTTGTTGATGATACAAGAAGACAAGTTCGATCCTTTGATGTTCAATTTTGCTTTGACACTTTCCAGGGGTGCAGAGAGCGAAATTGAGCGTAACCCCTGGGTATCGAAGATGATAATTACTGGGCATATCACATGTAACATGAGGCTTGGTCAATGCCACGCAATGAACCTAGTCAATAGTGCATGCCATACTGCACCAAAGTACACAACCGTGTCAAAAACGATATAATAGTAGACTCGGGAAAAAAGCTGGCAACTAATATTAACTGTTACATGAATCTGTATATAAATACATATCATTTTTTTTCACAAGAAAAATTACAAAACAACACAGTAAGTAGTTTAACAGTAACAAATATTTACAAGTCAATATTTTTCACTCTTGCTTGACAAACTTTTGACAATCTAATTGGTTGATAGCGGTGTACAATACCAATAACTGTTAAGACAAAAAACAAGTGTATACTTATGGTAGTCGACAGAGATACATTTGAATTATAACAAGATTGATAAAAGTTAGGTCCCTGGACGTTATTGGTCATTTTTGGCCATCTGTACCAGTTTTGAATGAATTGAAAAGTTCACATTCGCATACTTCATTTATCCGAGATTACAACTACAGCAACTTATTATAAATCCCTGATTGGACCAGAAATGATCTTTAGCGCCCCTAGTCCTTCGTCTATGTGCTTGAATTATGTCCGTTTTGACAGATACATCGTTGAGTACATCACTACACTGAATTATTATTACCGTTTAATTTCATATCCTGTTATTTACTTTAATTCAAGATTTATACGTTAAATAATTATATCATCATATGAAAGTATTAGTATCCCGACTAATTTGAAACTTAACAACAATAATAATAATATTTATCGAATCAACATCACAGAACCTAATTTCATTTTAAGGATCATTATGCGTTTTCAGTAAGCGTTGACTACAGCAAATTAATTGAACGTATTTCAGTATTATTTTAAACAACATTATCCAGGTCACCGTTCCGGACGACCTGTTATGTCCGCCCATTTGAATATATCTAACTAACCGTAAATCACTTTAATTTCGTGTGGTGTTTTTTTTGGCCTATTACTCCTGTAGGTTTTATCAGATAATCCTTGAAAATAAGACTGGAAATAATCTATGGAATTGTAATGATCTCAGAAATTGATATTCGCGATATGTGTGTCTTCTCGTCAATAAATGCGAAAATAAATATCTAGCGACAATAAAGTGATTTACTGTTAAAAGATCAATGTGCAAATCAATTATCTGGATTGTAGTGCCATTAGCATGCTACGCTATTGAGAACGGGTTTGTTTGTTCATTTAAACACTATCAGATATTCGAGTGCACCATTTTATAGGAGTAACAGTGTTGGTCGTTTTGTAAGGTGTGTAGTAGGTGTAGTTTTAGGAAACGAGCAATAGCCGTATACCTCTACAGTATTTCAGTAAATCAAATTGTTCCAAAATACATTACATCAGTAAAATTTGCTTTCGTGGAAATATCCGCAAAGACTTGTTCACGGAAGCGGACACAATAGCTCGTAACTGAACTCATGCTTAGGCGCGACGTCCATCCGTCAGCTATTCTCTAAACGGTCTCCTCTATCAGAACAACCGGGTTAATTTAACTGAATTTTGGTATGAAATATATCTTTACCTTTTTAGGTAGGGATATAACTTTGTTTACGTGAAAGAAACAACAGGAGAGTTGGCTAAGCAGTGAAAATAGGGGTTCATCGAAAAAAAAGAGTACTCGGATCGAATTAATTGGCATATTTCATAAGGCATCACGGAGCCATGAAATTTCAGGTTTCTGTCAATGAAGGCGTAGTGTCGTTAAGAGCAGCAAGATAAATTATTCAAAGATTTTAACTTCTAATTGTGTAGGAAACGTATATTAGTTTAATGATAAATGAAGATTCAAAATACAGGTTTACGCTTTAAAAGTTTTAGTATTCTATAAGGGTCTTCCCATCGCAGACAGAAAAAACAATGATCACAAAGTACACTTCATAGTGTAGGAATAAACGTGTGAACCGAATGTGTCAAATTGTATACAGTTTTATTCATTCACACTCTGATAAAATCAATGATGAAACTTCCTAATTCTGATACTCCCACAATATTATTACTACCATAACGATTTATACTAAATATGCATTTCCGCATTTTATAGTCTTATATATAGTCATTTTCCTTTTTTCTTGTTGCAAATGATGCATCATATCTCTAAAACTTAAACAGAGGGTACGAAACGTGAGCTATTTAATTGCATTTTGAAAAGTTTTGATATGTTTTAAAACCTCCTCGCGATGAAGTTCAGACTGTACAATGACGATGTGATTTCTATGCCTGGACACCAAACAATCCTAATATGTCATGAAGTGACGTTTACTTTCTCTTCAAGGCGCTAGGAAAACACACGGGGGAAAGAGTTTTGTTATACATTTTAGGGAATAGTCGGCATGCATAGTATGACAAATAAAAGCTGTGTGGTTTAATTTTTTCTGCAGTGTCACGCTGATTCAGTGATTCATATAGCAGTGGTGGTATGCATGGAGAGTTCATAGCTTCCGTGACACAAACTTAACTAGCTAGAACAATAACTACCTCGTTAACAGCAGAATATTGCCGAAAACATGCTGGAACCTATATTTAGTCGACTCAGTTTTACTATAGCAGCAATAGACATAGTTTAAGCGCAAATTGCAAATGGAAGTTGGTTAATTAGCATATTTCTAGCATCACCGAGAACGTCCTTCAGGGTATATAATTAATAAAGAAAATTGCATAATCGTCATTGATGCTAATACCTGGAATCTTGTTACGGTCAATGCTCACAATATTCCATATGCATACTATTAACTGATTTTCGTGTAGACCTTGACATTTAGCGCCCGTATTCATGAATCCGTGTTCATGCTCAAACCAAGATTCTGTGCTCAAATTAATATAGAAATATTTTTTTTTGTCAACGATATGAAAGAAATCTTGAAAGAGTTGAAAGCGATTTCTGTTTTCAGTGTTTACACTTTACTTTTTGACCTTTTTACGTGAATTAAGCAGATTACAAGAAAGTCGGCTTGAGAACACAAATCATGCTTGAGCGCAAGAGAGTGGTTTCACGAATACGGGCCCTGGTTTCCATCAATTGCAACTAACCAAATCAAGATACCAACTTTTATCAGTATTGACTTTAATGAAATATTTAATGTGAAATGATCTAGTTCTATAAGTGAATGTGAGCAACATAGATAAATGAGTTAAGTAGATCTTCCTCTACAAGGATATGAGGATGCTGAAAATGGGTCCATCCGTGTTTTATCAACTAAATACCAATGAGATTTATCATAACGGTTATTAAACAAACTACTTTATACTGACTTGACACAAACTAGCAACTTTAAGCCTTTCTTCATTTTAGTACGTCGCTTGTAGACTAACATAAAAGGCAAAAACGAATACAGAACAAAGTATTAGATAAATGAGATGAGGTTCCCAAGCTTCCTTTGTATATAAATAACATGGTAGTGAGTGTCTGTTTCATAAGATCTATATCATACAAAATCATATGTGAGATTACGTTCATAGTGTCCTGTACAAAGAGCCATAGAAGAGTGTGTGTTTGACGTGTTCTATATTAAACAGATCCAGATGTGAGATTATGTTTCTCATATTTCTACATTTAAAACCCAAACGAATGTGAGATCATATTTCTCATTTTCTACATAACACACAAACAGATGTGAGAAATCCTTCTCATGAACTACATTTAAGATACAACAGATGTGAGATTGTTTCTCATATTCTTCATCAAACACAAACAGATGTGAGATTGTCACCCCTGACTCTACCTGAATATTTGCCAAAAGATCCACATGTCTTGTTTGGCCTTCGTGTAGAGACTGTTAATTCATAAAAGATGATGTTAAATGTGATATGTTTGTTTGAAAATATATACAAGTTTAATAAAATCAAATCTTGTTTGTTATGTTTCCAACGACAAGTGATTCACAAGGTCATCAGGCATTACAAACGTCATAGAGAGAGTGTTATAGCACAGTTGTCCACAGGTATATTCCTTTCTCCAGAAAGATGGAGTTGTACATGTATGTCTGTGTTGTGATGAACACACTCTACATGTTATTAACTTGGAATTGATACAGGTAGATACGGATGATGTATTTGATGGAGTTCAAGGAAATCGCGAGGCTACGTTTCTGTAAAACCGACAAACTTTGAAATAGCTCAGGGCGGATATAGACCTAGCGACTGGTAAGGTTTTTATAATTGAGATCAATCAAAAAACTTATCGCGTATTACATATTGTAAGTGTGCAGGGAAAATACAATTTAAAATATGTATCGCGAGCGAAAGCGTCAGATTTCGAGGACGTGACATTGAGTGTTAGAACGCATGTCGACATGCCTTGGAGGTAACCTAGCTACATATATGTAACGTATCTAACCTATTTTAATATTTTCCTAAATTCAAGTCATCCAATGCTTATCACTTGGTCTTACAGTTACCTGTTCTTTTGGTATTTTGCGTTTATGAGCAAAACTAAAAAAGGGGTCTGTAAAACCATCAGAAACAACAGCTATCAAATCAACATGTTTAAAAACCTTTTTATGTCGAATTCAGATAAGATATGTGCATATATAGGTATCCATACCTTGGTGTGTATGCATGTTTCGTACAATAATTGTTTTAATAAACGCTTTATTACCATCTTGAAAAGTGATTATGTTAATGCACTCAATTTA